TCCCCAGCTACTCCGCGTACTCCAGTTGTCCTACCACGTCGCCAGTTCTCAGCTTCCAGCTCCCCAGCTACTCCGCGTACTAAAGTTGTACTACAAAGTCGCCACAGTTCTCAGCTTCCACCTCCACAGCTTGCTCCGCTGCATTTCGCGCACTCGGCGCGCACGATCTCCGCAGAGGGTCGCGCGGTAATTTCACACGTCGCACTCTCGCCTGCATTTCGCGCACTCGACGCGCGCGATCTCCGCAGAGGGTTCCGCGGTAATTGCACGAATCGCGCTCTCGCCTGCGTTTCGCGCACTCGACACGCACGCTCTCCGCAGAGGGTCGCGCGGTAATTTCACAAATCGCGCTCTCGCCTGCGTTTCGCGCACTCCACACGCACGATCTCCGCAGAGGGTTGCGCGGGCGCCCGGCGCGCGGCGCTCTCGCCTGCATTTCGCGCACTCGACACGCGCGATCTCCGCAGAGGGTTGCGCGCGCAGCCGGCGCGCGGCGCTCTCGCCTGCATTTCGCGCGCTCGACACGCACGATCTCCGCAGAGGGTTGCGCGGGCAGCCGGCGCGCGGCGCTCTCGCCTGCATTTCGCGCACTCGACACGCACGATCTCCGCAGAGGGTTGCGCGGGCAGCCGGCGAATCGCACTCTCACCTGCATTTCGCGCACTCGACGCGCGCGATGTCCGCAGAGGGTTGCACTTTCGGTTGACGCTGTTCGTCCCACCCTCCGCCTTTAAGAGAGAATTTATATAGTGGGGAAATGTTTTTTCATTAGGACATCTCCCGTGCACACTTGCCTACTCATTGCATGCTTGCATACTCATTGCATACTTGCATACTCATCACTTGCATACTTACACTTGCATACTTCCATGCTTTGACACTTGCATTGCATACTTTGCACTTCACTGCTTTCGCTCTTCCAATTACACAGGGCTACGTGCAAGTGTGGTGAAAGTGCCAATGTGTAAGTGTAAGTGTCGAAGTGTCAGTGTTCAAAGGATTTTCCGGAAGAACCCTTCGCAATGCTTTCGGGAAAAATCAGAAGCTCGACGAAGACGAAGAGGCTAAAGAACATGGCTGTCCTCTATGGAATGAGCTCCGGAGAGGAGAACCAGCGGCCAACAAGGTTCTCATCAGTTAGCTCTACAGTGGAAAAGAAGTGAGTAAGTGAGTAGCCTTTCGTCATCCCCCGGATTTGCTTCTTAGGAGTCGAAGGCTGGTCTTAGATGAGATCAAGCAGGAGAAGCCGAGGCGCGCGACATTTGGCTTGAATTGTGATGCTCGGCCGCCGTTGAGCCATATCTTGGAGGAGGATGTGCAGCAGAGTGCGCAAGAGGTCGCTCGGGTGATTTGTCATTTCAAAGAGGTTTGTGAAGAACAGACCCAAGGAGGACCACCTCGCCGGTCAGGCCTGGAAGTAACTGTGAGGATGGACCAACGCATGACGAACCTCTGTCAAAGACGTTGATGGCAAGTACGTTCTGAAGCCAACTCGGTTACTCGGCTCGTCGCATCCTCACCTGTTTTGGCAGCTGCGTTGTCCATGATCACCTTGATCCTTGAAGATCACGTTCGCGCTTCTCCCCATGGCGTTGTGGCGCACATGGTTCTCGCCCAGCTCATTTTCTCTCTCCACAGTCTTCCTCTAGCAGGACTTGTCTTTGTACCCCGGTGAGGATGATGTCACCAAGCTCTGCTGTCCAGCTTCTACGTAACGAGGAAACATTGGCGCCATGCCATTGATCTGCGTGTTCATGGTCTTGTGAACATCTGAGGCAGAGCTTCAAGCTTGGGAAGGGGTACTAACATTACCGCGAAGGTGCGCAGGCACTGTTTATTGTGAAGGTTTGCCCAGCATCTTTGTCTAGCTGGTTCCTCAGAGAAGGCTATCAAGGCTTCACAGCTTTTCAGACACCCCAGGCACCCAACCTGCGAGAAGGAGAGGAAGAGCCTGTCTAGACCTGACTCAGCCAGTAATGCGTGGCCGTTGACATCGCTCACATCCCGATCAAGAAGATGTTATGCATTCCTTTCTGATTACCGCAGTCGCACCATGGATGGAGATCTTTGGCAGTCCAGATCGCGCCCGAGTGGACTAGGATGGCCCCCCAAGAAATGATTTTTGTGACATCTTTCGATCGCTTCGGAATTGACGAGGTTGCGGAAGAGACGCGCGTTGGAGCCTTGGTGTGGTGGAGAGAAAGACCTTGACCATCAAGGAGATGAGGATGAAGCTCGCTCGCTCATGAAGGCGAAATGCGAGGACTTGTGGCAAACTGGTATACCACCACAGAGGTTTTTGCCAGCCCAGTGTGTTCTTGTTTTCCAGCCCCTTCCTGAGGTGGTGAGCGATGGAAGAGGAGTTCGCATCATGGGATGGACTGCGAAAAGGACTTTGTACATGCCAACCACTCCTCAGCCTTCGTCGTGCCTCTGGCTCAGACACGCCATCAGCCAGGTCCCTTTGAGACGCGCGCTTTGGTGTTGGTGATGTAGCTGAAGCGCAAGGCCTGCAATGCAAGCAGTGGTATGGTCCTGCAAGAGTCCGTGGCAAAGACATTCATAGCTAGTGGCTGATTCACAGGGTCAACAAAGCTACTTTGACTTGTCCAAGATGCAGGATCCCATTGACCCTGATGAAGATAACGCACAGAGACAGGTGCGCTCACCAAGATCGATGCGGAGGAGTACGAACCATCATCAGCAGATCAAGCAGCGAAGCGTAAGGATGAGGTGAGAGAAGCAAAAGAAAAAGATGGTGGTGATGTGTACAGAGATGAGTGCGCATCAAGTGGTGAGGAACCCCGAGAAAGCAGGATTGAACGCGAGGAGAAAAGAAAAGCAAGACGCGATGCTGAGACCGAAAAAGGTCGAGGAGGAGTGGATGTCAAGAGGCTGAGGACTGAGGAAACCCGAGTAAGAGACTTCAAGCAAGAAGTGGAGGAAGAGAAGAAGGAAGCAAGAAAGTCAGTCTGATGAACAGAGTCTTGAGGAGTGAGCTTCCGTCGCTAACGGATGAAGGCATGTTGCCATAGGATCGCAAAAGGAAGAGCCTTCTGGATGGTGTTCCGCAGCCAATCTGTGCTGCGGTTTAGACGAGACAAGAGGAATTGAGGCAAGAGGACACGACAAAAGGAGATGCTGAGACGGCCACAGAAGAAAAGGAGATCCTGCACGCAGCCTTCTTAGCAGAGCGCCTTGACACCCGCATCAAGAAGAACAAGGGCGCAGAACTCAATGCTGAGAAGGTCTGTGAACAAAGCAAAGGAGGTTGATGAAGCGACGCAGAAGGGAGTTGACGAACATGGGGACACGGTTGAGTTTTGAAGCCATATACATTGTCAACCCCCGGCGGAGAGCAAGGAAATCCGGAAGAACGGACCTGAGAAGGTGGTTTCATCGCGCAATCATCAGACAAAGCGCAAAGCCTTGAAGAGGGGATACCTTGCAAGTGGGCGCCTTCGGAACAGCAGCTTGCTGACGTGCTCACAAGCTTCTTCATAACAAAGGCTTGGCCCACCTCCAGGACGTGTTGTATTCCAAATGACACTTTGCCCAGATCCAAGGCTTTCAGAGAACTCAAGAAGCAGAAAGCCAAGCCCTTTAATGGAAAGTCCGTGCGTAAAGTGGAAAGCCGACAGGAAGCAGAAGAGGTCGATAAGATGATGATTGAAGAAGCAGAAGCTGAGGACAGCAATGACGCAACCGCCGCATCGTCTACATTGGGATGGCATTAGCGCAGCAGTTCCTACGAGCAGAGGACGGCGTAAGGATAACCGCTTCATTGCCAAGTTGGGAGTTGATTTTGGCGTGGTGGCTCATCGTATTGACCATGCGTGTCTATGTCAACATGGTTCGATACACGCGGTTACTCAGGTGGTTTGCAGATGCAGCGTTGTACATTCAGTGGCAGTGGTGAGTGGCCTTACAATGTTACAACGATCACAACAGCATTGGCGATGAAAGTGTCAGTTTCACAGAACTCAGAATGTTGTGCCATCTTGCCTCCTTTTCGTTCCGGCAACAATCCTCTTGTCATCGAAACAAGTGTCCAAGGAAGACAGATCAGGAAGGTCCACGAAGGAACGAAGTTGAGCGAAGCTCAGATGAGAAAGGAGATTGCAGATGAAACAGCTTCCATTATGAGGCATGTCGACAAGTTGATGGAGCGAACAAGAAGCTCAACGTCAAGGACTTTCCGCGCTCCATGACAGAACCTTTCGTCAAGTGGCTGATGGTGACCGACGACTTCTACTAAAGGCGATAGACCGCTTGTTTCGAAGTGACCATGGGCTCAGACGAGCGTGAGACATCCTTCACAAGCGGCAAGTTCGAAGAGAGTTGCCGGGAATACCGACATCATAAGCGGTGTGGAGCCCATCACTTTCAGAGCAAGAAGAACCAGAAATGGAGCGAATCGACAGTGAAGAGAATGGCGAAGAGGAAGAAGAAAAGCCCCTGATGACAAGTGGTCGATCCTAGCGAGCCAAGTTCGCAATGTGCCACCGCCTGGAGAGCCAGGAATGGTGGGAGAACTCAAGTTCCAACGTGAATGGCTCCTTTTGCAGAAGGTGTATCAAGATGAGGACCAGCTGGCCACCATCTCGAACAAGATAGACGAATTGGCCAATGAGATTGAAAGAGGAGCAGAAAGTTGCGTCTCAAGGTACGAGGAGTTCAAGTGCTCATGGAGCCCCAGCTGTGTCAGAGAACCCGCAGAATCTTGAGGGATGTCAAAAGGTAGCGCCATGACATTTGGGTCCTATGACGCAGCATGGAGGCGCTGTGAAATGGAACCCATGAAGCCCATGTGAACCAAGGGTTTAGGCTCGATTCCATGTGTTGTGACATTGTAGGTCGTGGCTTTGCAATGTATATATTATATATATACTGTATATATATATATAAATTTGTGTTTTAAATACACGTTCACCCAGGCAATATCAGGGAAGCGGAAGACTTTGACAACGTTAAAATTCGAAAACTTGCCAACTCCAGAGGCTTCGGCTGAACGCTCTTCGAGGCTTTCGGACGCTGAGGGTCTTTCTGGGCCACGGGATCGACGGCTGCGAACTTGGAATAGAATAGGCATGATCTACAGTTAAATAAGATCAACTGGGCTGGCTTATTAATCAAGAACGTGTTAATCTTTTCCGTTTGTTTTTCATTTATATAAGTTTCTTTTCGTTTGTTTTCTGAAATCTGATTGATCTATCAGCTGGCTGTTTGCATGTCCGTCCTCCTTGACATGCGGTCTGTATCCAAAGATCCTGCCACCTTGCCACCTTGCTGGTCTTCGTCCTGGGAATTGTTTCATTGAAACTGATCTTTTCGGTTCACCGTCTCACCTAAAGCTTTCATCCCCGATTGTGAAGAATGTGAGTTCATCCCTCAAACTCAAGCCAAGGTTTGTCCCTTGTGAGTATCTCCAGTGCTTTGATACTGGTGCTAGGCTGTTCTGCTGGGCCAGGCCATTGGGACGTTTCTTCCCGAATCGGCCTTGACACATTGTTTCTGGCTCTTGTGTAGACTCTAGACCTGGGCACGACAGTAGAAACACTTCGACGGCAAGAAGGGATAGTGGAGGGCACGCTTCCTGCAGGGCTCAAGACAACCCTACATAGCTGCTTGAACAAGAAGATCTAGCACCGTGCTATACTAGTATGATGAGCGTGTATGGTTGGTCTCCCTATTTGAATAGACCCGTACCGAGTAGCCGGCCGAGTCCCTTCGCAACAGTCGGCAACACTTCCGTCAGGTGGGCTGTCCGGGTAGAAAGAGCTCCTTGTGCCGGCAATCGAAGCAGTTTGGCAGATCCACACATTTCATCTGAACAGACCATGCGTTTTTGGCACTTTTGGCGCTGGAAGCTCTTTTGTTTGGACGTTTCACCGAATTGATGTTACGTTGGTCATGGAGATGCATGGCTGAAGCTTCCTGTAACGTACAAAGACCGAAGGTTGGAGACCCAACATCAACCGGCACCATGTCTTCTGAGTCTTCTGTTTGTGGGGTTGGCAGAGGCAGAGGGACCTGCACCCTGCCCGGATTCAGAACCAGGGCACCACCAGGAATGGAACCTGGGGTTTGAATTCACTCAATAAGGCCCTGCTGGTTGAAGCCTTTAAGACATTTCAAGACAAACACTATTACTGTAAAGCCCTGCAATTTGTCATCGTGTAAATACATCTCCATGGACTAAAGCCTCGGTCACAGCTTTGCTGCACCAAGTGGGAATCCTGCTGATGTACTCGCAGACACCGTAGACAGGTAGACAGGTTGAAGGAGCATATTTCAAGACTGACAATGCGTTTGGTTGAATTTCAGCCTATACACTTCTTCACCAAATTTGAATGAAGTCGAGCGGATACCCATGCAATTCCTCCCGAGGTTTTTAGGATTTTGCAATGTTGAGACTTCGGTTGAACTGAAGGACCAACACTGGGCGTCAGGAACATAGCATAGTGCAGCCTCAACAGTGCTTGGGTTGTCTTTATTCAAGCGAGAAGCCCGAGGGTCCACTTGTCCAAGCTTCAAGCGTTTCTCATATAATGTGCCTCATCAAGCCACCTTACCTGCGTGATTGTGGCTATGCGCTTCCTTCGGGCCCAGAAAGCTATTTGTGCAAAGTTCAATTCCCAGTTGGAGATGTGCCAAACCCGAATCCCGCAATATGAATGCAAATGTCGGCATTGAAGTCTGTGGTCATGGTTTTGCACAGAGAACGATTCTATGGTGAAGCTTGCTTGGACACGAGCAACTTGGACACTTGGATACATGGGTTTCGGATGGGGTTTGGCACTATGTGTGGAGTACAAATTCGGTACAACATAGGCATTTTGCAACGATGAGCGGGGGATTGGGCCTCGCCCAATGGGTGAAGCAGGAGGTGCACTGGACTGCTTTGCAGCTGGCTTGTCGGCCTTCAGGTCAATCAGATTGGCATGCTCAAACAGACGCCAGGAGCGGATCCCTGCGGACTTACGGTACCCGAACAGTAGTCCAGAACGCTGCTTCTGCCCCCCGACTTGGAGGACTTCTGGATGGTCCAAAGGACTTAGTGAAGTGTTTCGATCCGCGAGATGCGGAAGGGAGCGGCGAAGTTGCTGGAAGAGCGCTCGCCTCGCAGTTTAGAAGGAAAAGTGCCGGCATTGTAATCAGAGAGAACACCAAATTGTTGAATGGTGATGAAAAGCCTGCGAAGCTACACGCTGCATGATACATGACTTGAACTAGACATGCTGCTGACCATGGACATTCTTGCTCATACTATGGTTTGTTTCGTGGTCTTCAGGTGTTCTCAGAGGCTCAATTTGCAAAACAGATCAAACTATTGTAGCAAAAACGAACATGCATGACGGTATAACTGTGTCGAATTCTGTTTGAGGCCACAAAGGTTGTGTGTTTGTTTTGTTTGTTCAGCAGAGACCCCGTAGCTGCCAATTGGCTGGCTGTTCCGAAGTTGGATGACCCGACGTTTGGGTATAAGCCGTGGTAGATCGCCTCCTGTTTTCAGGGCAAGATTCCATCGTAGAGATCATGTCTTGAGGCAAATTATTTTGAGCTGTTGCGCCCAATGCAGCGGCGAACATTTACAAGTGAACCTGGTTAGCCTGGCTCTTGGCTTGTAAAGTCTGCACCCAACTACTTCACCCAACTGCTTCGATCATGCGGTCCTCGCGCTTTTTTTGGCCCTCAAAGAATCTGAAAGCCACAGATTGAACGAATCCAAAAAAAATTCACCCCACCTGAATGCAGACATTCATTGCAGCCTTTTGGCTAAAGGGAAGTGGGCCAGCAGATCAATATATTGTTGGCTTGCTAAACCTGAAGAGTCATGCCCAATCTCGACCAGGTTGCACTCCTTCGCCAGGAGAGGGATTATCACCCGAAAACGGCAGCTTAGGGTTGCAAGGACCTTGGACATGTTTGGATGTTTGATGGAGCTCGTGATTAAGCCAGACAAGGGGCAAAGCTCACCGGGCCTTCCACAATAGAATGGCAAGGCCCTGTTGGGTATTTTGGTGAAAGATTCCCCAAAGGGACACGCCGTTAGTACGACATGCTGATTGCTTGGTCGAGGAGATTGAAGGTCTTAAGCTGGAGCTGCAAGAGGTCAAGTCAAAGGTGGGTATTGAAGTGAATCCGGATGTGGTCAAGATCAAGATGCAGGCTAGACAGGTGGCTCGGTATTCAGATAAGACCTGACTCTGGAACCCGGAGCGTGTCTCCAAGATCTGAGAAGTACTGACGGCCGCCCATAGCCTGGCCGAATTGAGTTTCAGATCCTGTGAGTGAAACGTGGATCAGAATCTGTTAGGTGACGGAGCATTTAAACCCAGACTTGCCCAGGCGCTTACCGTCCCTCTTGGCTCAGGAAGATGAGATTGACATTACGGAAGCGGAAAGTGCAGGCTTGGCCTGGCTGCTTGGATTTCAAAGCAGACCACAGCCCGTTTTCATCCTGAGCTTAAGTTTTTGTTGACCACATTTGCATTTCAATGTGGCCTTCTTTTTGTGTCGATTTTGAGGTCCGAACATTCTTTTGAGGACCGTCCTGAGGACGGTTCCAGTCCAAGAGAGAGAGAGACGCACAGCTGCAGTTTGGGGAACTTGCCAAGCACCCTCGGACTGCAAAATGCCATTTGGGATTTTGCTGAAGGTCTATGAGGAAGGGCAGCACGCAGGACATCTCGCTTCTAGGAGCAAACGAGACGATTTCAATGGTGTGTTTCTTGGCTGATGCAGGACATGATGGCGACAGCAAAATGTGAGGGAAACAAATGCGGAAATCGGAAAACGGTAGTGCAAAACCACTTGATACCGGATGCTCCTCTTGACCAAAGTAGTAATTCCTACATCGGCGAAGGGATGTATGCTCTTTCAGATACCGTTGCAGACCACGGGGCTGTCAGGCTTTGACCGCAAAAGTGCCTGGAGCATCCCTTTGGTGGTGGTCTTTTCGGAAGCCTTTGATACCATCACGGCAGCGGTGATTCTGATTTTCAATTTGATTATGCAAAGCCTTTTCATCAGCATCTCTGCTAAGCCTCTGAATTTTTGAACAGTTTTTTTTGCTGCTGATAGCGACAGCCTTGCAAGTTTCTTCTTTACCAAAAAAGTTTATTGTTGATAGCTCAACTCTTTGCTTACGCCAGACGATCCTGCAGTTTTTCAGCTTGAGTTGGTGCCTTTGCCATCCTTTGCCCCGGAATGAATTGCCATTCAAGATTCTCGGTTTAGGCATCATATCGGGCAGATCCTTTCTTGGTGAAGACTATTCGAATCAGGCACGTGGCACGAGGAGATTGGTGTTTTTCTGCTGGAGCAAAATGCAGTGCAGTTGATAGCAGCTGATAGCACAATTTGTGGTTGCTCTCCTCTAATTAGGATGATCATCATGCATTCATGCATCATACTTTTCCTACTGCATCCAATTGCACAGAACCTTGCGTTCGGAAGTTCAGCTTCGACTCGTCTCTCGCTTCCACAGATGTGAGCTGACTTCCAATTTGGAATCCTGATGACCTCGCCCCACATGAAGAGGAATGACTATCCATGTCCCGCGGGGTTATTCAACATTCAAGTCGACCATGGCCATTTCGCATCGTTTGATTTCGCCACCCTTGGCCACCTTGGCCCCTGGTATTCAGCTCGTCGAGGTTGACGACGCGGCGTCTTGGCGACGGAGCTTTGCACACGACTCCAAGTACGTGGACACTGGGCGACCGGACCAACCGGGGAACGTTCGTCAATTCTGCGCAGAGCACACGTCCACGTCCGCCCTCGACATCGAAAATCCTCGTTTCCTGTCCACCTCTGAACGTCTCAAGTGGACAGCCTGTCAGTGTTCCGTCATTTTGTTGAACGGGGGACCTTTTGGGCGCGCTTTTTTACATGTATTCTGCATTCGATCCAACTCATTATTTCTGATCATGTGCTGTACAGTACAATTTGTTTGCTTGTTTGCGTGGCACTCTGCTTTGCACATTTAGCATTTGTTTTCCAATCTTGTTTCCCCAAAAGTTTGTGACACTTGTCACAGCCCAGCCAAAACCAAAAACAAAGGTAAGAAACACTGAAACTGCGGCCCCAATACCCTTGGTCTATTGCTCTTTCGCTGCAGATAGAATTGCTTTACAATATCCTTTGCCCCGCCCTCACCACGCTTTCCTACAAACTCTTCTTAGTGTCACTGGGCTTTTCTATTACAGTTCTCCAATAGGTTTTACACGCCTCATCACACCTTACTCGTATGTATATAACATATGATCGACTCTTTCCATCCTCAAATGTACTTGAAAGTATTGAAATATCTTTGAGAATCAAAGAAATGCATTTTTTCCTATCTCCTCAGGAAACTCCACCTTGTCTAGACAGGCTGTTGTTTGCTGGTAGTTGTGAGCATTTTGTAGAATTTTGCTTGCTGCCACGCATACCCTTGAATCAACACACACACATGCAGCCATCAAAACCAAAGGAGTTAGGTCAGATGCAAGAGCATTCATTGCTCCTACCCTTCCTCAGAACCCCCAGTAAACATTGGCAGTTTGATTCGGTGCTGCTTTTCTTGAAGAATTCATCTTCCCTTCTTGGCCAGTGTCACAGTGTGCTGTATTGGTAGTTAGCCTGTCTTCTTCGATCACGCTCTCAGTCCCCCACTCTCCAGGATTTTCCCGTTCTATACTGTAACACTTGTCACGGAACAAAGGTGCTCCAGAGTATTGTTTGTGTCTTTTCCGTTGTCGTAAATTCTCGCAGTCCAGATAACGGAGAGAGTCCCCCATTGTCATAATCTCAGTGTGTCACTCAAGACCTTGAATCTAGGAAAGACTCAGCATACCTCTTACGCAGCTCTGAATCTCTGAACATTTTCTACCCTGGAAGGCTTGCAAGAGGCGGTTTGTGGTTAGTGGTTGGAGGCCATCCCTAGTAGGTTGGAGGCCATCGCTCTTAGGTTGGAGGCCATCGCTTGAAGGAGAACCTGACCCTCTCTTCCAATCTCTTGCGTCCCAAGATTGCAAGGACCTGACAGATCGAAGCCTGGCATCTCGCGTGTGCAACTTGGCGTCTTCGGTCCAGAGAGCTTTGGAGGATTCTTCTTAGAGCACTACATACCATCGTCATCGTCATCGTCATCGTCATCGTCATCGTCATCATCATCATCATCATCATCATCATCATCATAATCACCATTTTTCTTTCCTGACGCTCTGCGTCCAGCAGATAGCGTGGACCTCTCCGGTCGGAGCCCATTTGGCGGTCCTGGCTCTTGCTTCGAAAAGCCTGCGCAGATCAAGACGCACCGTCCAGGATCTCAGCCAGCTGTTTTCTGGCTTGAACCTGCTTGAACTCTTTCCGGAAATGGTTCAAGGTAGCATACTACTGCAGTAGACATGGGCACCTATGTTCATCTCAACTGCCAGGAGAAGTAGAAAGTATGGCTGGCAGGCGCAAACACAGGACGGTTCTGCCTTGAGATGAAAGATTTGCATGATCCGGCTACTCAGAGGCTCAGCACGGCTCAGTAGATCTCCATGGCACTCCTGCAAGTGCAGCAGCATGTTGGGCGGCCAGCAGCTGCGCACCAGGCATTCCCTCACCAAGCGGCGGCACAAGTCCGAAGCCCCCCATCAGAGGCAAGATGTCCAGGCAATCCAGCATGCGCTCCCAATCATCAGCCCAGGGCCTAGGTGTGGGAGTACCTTAGATTGTTGGCCAGAGTATGTTGAGGGATGTCCTCCAGTGGCAGTGGCATGGTGCAAGGCTCAGCTCCTCCATGGGAGAAATTCAACCATAGCACGCGAACGTTCCTTAGAAGGAGGTCAGGCAAGGTTTTCATCCCAGTGACCATCAAGTCCTTGTCGAGTATGGCCCTTGGTTTGCCATCGAATCTTGGTGAGGCTTTGTGTCCACACGAGTCAACGGTCCAACTGAATGCAGACCAGATCAGCAGGGCCAATGGCATGTAACCCAAAGGTGGCAGTGATCAAATCCTCCAAATCAATCTGTGACTCTTTTCGCTCCGGATCCAGATGCAAGTGCGGAGGACAGGTGCGTGAATTCTGATCTACGGTCTTCGCACAATCACTGTCCTCATCTGAATCTTCAACCGAGCTTCCCATTTGCAGCTCAAAGAAATAGGCTCGGGTTTGGGAAGTAGATATATAGTGTACAAAGTCAACCACGTCATGCTGCTGAAAGGGATTCCCCAACCCTGCAGCTGGTCCATTGGACAGCAGAGCCAGTGCTGGTGTCTCTCGGTCAACCAGCAGTGATTGAAAGATACCAGGTAGAGAGTGCGCTCAGTGGCATCAAGGCCCCCCACTCTCAATGCTCCCCATACCAATCCGTGGACGGCTATGTTCATGTAGCGCAGGTTGTCAGGATTGTCAAGTACCCTCAATGGGCGAGCGGTGGTTTTGCTCAGAGATCTATGAGCAGTCGTCCCAAGTGTTGGGCCACAGGACTGATATCGCTGTGCGATGTGGTTTTGCGTGCCATCAGTGGAAAGCGCGTTGCGTGAGTCCTTGCCATTGGGGAAGGAAGTCGGCGTGTCGCTGGGGAGCGTGTTGATTTGGAGAGGACGCGCGGGTTGGTGTTGTGTGTAGCCCGCGGGAGAATGCGCGGCAAAAGTACGTCTGTAACGTCGCTGTGCCACTCGGTTTGGCGTGGCCTCGGTGGAAAGTGCGTTTGTCGCTGTGGGGAGCGGCGTAATCGGCGCTGTCCACGAGGCTTGGTGTTACATAGTTGTATCTAGTCCGTCTGTGGCGCGCCGTGTGGCCAAATTACGTCTGTGATGTCGCTGCGCCGTATGGTTTTGCGCAGCCTCGTCGGCAAGTGCATTTGCGCAAGTCCGTGCTGCTGGGGAAGGAGAACATGCTGGTGTAAATGCAGGGCGCGCCTTGGGACCAAGAAGATTGGCAGTGTCCACGAGGCTTGGTGTTACATTGTTGTAACCAGTCTGTTGCAATACAGTTGATGTCGCTATGCCATGCGGTTTTGCGCAGATGTGGTGGAAATTGCATTTGCGCGCCGTTGGGGGAAGGAAAGCAGGCTGGTGTGGATTTGGTGTGTCGCTGGGATTGGGATGATTGGTGTGTCCGCGAGGCCTGGTCTGTGGGGCACCGTGTGGCCAAATTACGTGGAAAGTGCCATTGCGCGAGTCCGTGCCACTGGGGTAAGAAATTTGGCGCGTCGCTGGGGACACGAGGCTTGGTGTTACGTTGTTGTACCCAGCCAGTCTGCTTCTGTGATGTTGCTGTGGCATGCGGCTTCGGGCGGTCTGGTGGAAATTGGGTTTGCGTGAGGCCGTGCGTGGGGGGAAGGAAAGCACGCTGGTGTGAATTGTCCGCGCAATTATCTGCAAAAGTTGACATAAACCTCTATAAAGTATCAACTGCAAGTTTTTTTCGGGGCAGGAAGAACCCGTACAAATTATAGTAACCCTTGACATAAGCCTGCATAAACATCGACAGGAAAACTTCTTCCGGGCGGGACGGCTTGAATCCACACAATTTTGGTTGTAGATCTGCGCCTCAGTTTTTCCATTCCATCCTTTTCTGCCCCTCTTTTTTAATTTATCTTTCACTCTCGCCCACTTCTTTGCTTTGCAGTTTGCAGTTTCATCGTCATGCAAGCATGCCTTACGCCAGAATAAGTCTACACCTAAATGCTATCGGGCCATCTGTCCTCTAGTAGGTTTTTCAAAGGGTTTCATACGCAATCGTGCAGTGTTGTACTTCGAGGGGCGCATGAGGTAGCGTTGCGTTGGTGTCGGTTTGGAAGGTGGGGGATGGGGTGCGGGTGAGATGTGGTTCATCATATGCTTGTCACGACCGCCGGATGCGTAAGCAACGCTTGAGAGGCTTGCTTGCTGCTTTCGCGTGAGAGGGACAAGATCGCATGTGCGCAAACAGTTTAGGGGTATATCGGTCACTGTGGCCAACTATATAGGTTGTTTTTCATATATTCCTTGTTTCTAAAGGATGACGTGCATGGCTGCACCAGCGAGTGCTAGATCAGATTTAGATCCTTGCGCAGGAAATCACAAGCGGCCTTGGGTGACTCTCACTTGTTGGAGCGCAACGAGTGCTTCAAAGCCATTTGATCTCTATTACATGTCATTTTTAGCGCCTAGGGGCAAGCAGCACCGTCGGCGAACGTTTACGCGCAAACGGCTCCTTGAGGCAGAATTCTGTGCGCGCAAGGTTCGTTGTACTGCATCGTGCTTCAACGATGGGTATAGTGTGTTTGTTCCCATTTTGGTGTGTTTTGTTCCCGTGGTGTTTCCCTTTCCCGGAATGGTGTTTTCTGTGTCCGCAGGTGTTTATGTTCCTGCAGGTGTTTTCTGTTGCCCCTAGTGGGGTGTTTTTCGCCAAGGTGTTTTTGGTTCCCGGCAACGCCGTCAAGGTGTTTTTTGTTCCCGGCAAATCTGTGATCCTGTGTGCCCGTTGGTTGTTGGCGGTGCGTTGATATGGCCAGCGGCCAGCAATGAAACACAAATGTCGCGTGAGTAGAGAAAAGCTGCTGCGCCCGCAACCTCTTGAGTAGTCGTCATCGTCGTCGTCATAGTAGTAGTAGTAGTAGTAGTAGTAGTGGTAGTAGTAGTGGTAGTAGTAGTGGGAGTAGTAGTAGTAGTAGTAGTAGTAGTGGTAGTAGTAGTAGTAGTGGTAGTAGTAGTAGTAGTAGTATAATAGTATAGTCGTCGTAGTAGTAGTAGTAGTAGTAGTAGTAGTGGTAGTAGTAGTAGTAGAGTAGTAGTAGAGTAGTAGTGGGAGTAGTAGTAGTGGTGGTAGTAGTAGTAGTAGTGGTAGTAGTGGTAGTGGTAGTAGTAGTAGTAGTCGTAGTAGTGGTAGTAGTGGTAGTAGTAGTAGTAGTGGTAGTGGTAGTGGTAGTGGTAGTAGTAGTAGTAGTCGTAGTAGTAGTAGTAGTAGTGGTAGTAGTAGTAGTAGTAGTAGGAGTAGTAGTAGGAGTAGTAGTAGTAGTAGTAGTTGTTGTTGTTGTTGTGGTTGAGGGTGTAGTAGTAGTAGTAGTTGTTGTTGTTGTTGTTGTTCTTGCTGTGGTTGTTGTCGTCGTAGGAGTAGTTGCAGCGCACTAATCGTCATCGCAACTTCTCCTACTGCTCGTAGTATCTCGTAGTACCACCAGTCGCAGTGCTACTGGTACCGATCATCGTCGAACGAACATACACACGACCTCACCAAAACCATGCGGGAACAGAAAACACCATTCTACGCAGTTTTCTTGGCCGCAAACACGGCGGGAACTGAAAACACCTGTACGGGAACGGAAAACACTGCTGGACACAGGAAACTCTTTTGCGGGAACGTAAAACTGGAAAGCGGTAACATTTCAACCGCGCCGGCGTGAACAGAAAACACCTACGGGAACACAAAACACGTGCGGGAACAGAAAGCACCAAAGCGGGAAAGGAAACACCGCGGGAACAAAAAACACCAAAGTGGGAACAGAAAACCCGCAGCCCGGATTCACGACAGGCGTGTGTGCAGAGTATCATTCAGCAGCGCGCTTTATGCATTTATGCTATGCTGTTAAGGCTTGTCTCACTTGATCGTATGCTGTAACGCTCGTATGCTGACATACACCCCGGTTACAGTGATAGCGCTGAACGCTCTGACTGCGCTTACGCTGACCACGCTCTCCTTGCTGATTCTGCTCATTACCCCATTACATCTCATTACTACTCCGATTACGACAGTTACATTGATTTGCGCTGGTTACCCTGTCTACGCTGAGCCTTTCTCTGGAAAATGTTCAGCCCAGTCATTTTGCTGCGCTTGGTGAAGTCTTTGTGGCCCGTCTGGTGGCAGAAGGATGAGATTCGATGGAGAGGAATTGGAGGTTGCTTGAAGATGCCTCTAACTGTTCGTATGTGTCTTCTTTACATCGGCTTGTGATGGACACAGTCTGTGAGTTGAGCATTGTGCTTTGCGTGGTGTTCAACTTCAACTCCATCCCAAATATGACATGGTCGAATGGTGACACGCTTTTCCACCCGACCCCTCACGACTTGTCGTTCCCACCCTGTGGTGTGTCACATAGCTACCTGATGGATCATCTAGTGATCTTGAGAGGTAATTTTTTCTTCGAAACGCCTTGGCTTGGACAGTTCAACATGGTCATGCGTTTTGAGGTGTCACGTCACGGGCGTGAAAACCGGTACGAGTTTGGCGGGCCGGTGAGCAAGGAGACCCACGCGGGCCGACGTTTGGGCAGCGAAAAAACTATCCAATGTAAGTGACAGCGAACTACCATGACGAGTTTAGCAACGGAACTGAAGAAAAGGAGGGACCTCAGTCAAGCAGTTTGAAGGTAGATCCTGTTAATTGGAGATGTGACGTAAGACATCGACAGAGTGACAGAGTTAGTCGAATTCACCGAATTATATACCCTTTCACACATTGACACTTGTTCAATGCCTGATTCACTTTCTCGAGCTATTCCTGGCAGCTACTAAGGTAATGAGGATGGATCATTGATCTTCTCCAATGGTCAGCTGGCCTTCATTTTTTGTAATGATTCATGACTGCTTTGTTGTGCGGTGTTTCAGATACCGGCAAGACTTGAGGCCAAACCGAAATTCTGACTCACATCAACGCATTCCTTGGGCTGCTTGGCCTTGCCCTGATTGAGTTTCAGCTATTTTATGCTATTTTTAGGATTCACTTACCAAAGCCACCCCTGGATATCATCAATTAATGCCCGAAGCCGGTCGGATGGTTTTCGCCGGGTGAAGCCGACCCGAAGAAGATGGTGAGACTGGCCGCCTAGCCGGATTACTGTCATTTACGGGGTTGCGCTCCCCCCATTCATTGGGGAGAGAAATACAAATACATCACACGCTTGTCCCCAGCTCCAGCTCTATGTTGCCCTTCAAGACGGGGTTCTCAATCTCAAGACTCAGGATGAGCAAAGATGAATTTGAGTTGCCATTCTTCAACCCTGGAGTGTTGCTCTCGGTTCTTTGCATTTTGCTTTGGAACCTGTGCCTCGACGAACTTCACAAACTTCTGGGTCATTTGCTAATTGCATTTGTACAGTTGATAATGATCTTCCGAACTGTTGTGAAATCTGGGCAGGGGCAGACATTTAGATTTGTCGTTTGCTTAAGTTGCTTCACAGGTGCATCTTCAAGGAGTACCGCAGCATTTGGCATGCGTTGCAAGGGATGTATTTTGTGCCCAAGGCTTCCAGGACAGTCCAAAGAGGGAAGGGCGAGCAAGCGTAGTTTCTTGTAGTTCCTGAGTTCCTGAGCTTGGCGTACACATCTATGTACATCGGGGTTAGTTCTTGGTAGAATGGAGATACTTGGGTAACACTCTTCTATAGAGAATTGCTTTGATGCTTTGCAGAATGTGATGTAAGCACAGGGGTTGAGATTCTACAGAAAAATGTAAATTTCTGTAGAATCTTGTTTGGCTTACTTTGCGTACATGGCGGGCTTGATTTTGTAGAGAGATAATGGCTTGTTACATTGTTTGCGCTAGAGATTCAATGTGGAGATGTCATTTTGACATGTCTTAGGTGCCACTTGAACATGTGGTTGAAACCATGGGCATACTGAAGCCCTTTGCGCATCAAGAAAAGGCGAGAGCTGCCTTTCAAAGGGTCCTTTTTGACCACACGTGGGTTGTGAGCCCAAAGGACGCCTAAAGGCCATGTCGCACAGCTCGATGGAGACTGTGAGCTCTGGGCGCAGGAGCTTGATGGTGACCTGAAGGGACCAGAGGACGCCGCCTGGAGGGCCCGCTCTGGGTGGGCAGCTTGGTGAAGGGAGAAGCGCCACGGTCGGGATCGGTAGTGGAGGAGTTCCATGCACCCCGAGCCCGGGAAAGCTTTCAAATGGAAAGTGTCATGGCGTTGGTCACGCAACAAAATTCTGAGCTGCAGCGTGAGGTGATCGCTCTACGCCATGGTCAGGCAGCTTCGGAGAAGAAGAAGGAGGACACGGTGTGTGTCTGACCTATGGCTCTCGCCGATTTCAACTGGTGTCAGCCTTGAGGGATTGGTCGGAGTACCAATGAATAGCTCAGGACAGCTGAGCGGTGTATGGAATGGCCCACAAATTGGGCGCAGCGGCGATGATGCTGGATGCTGGGGGGCAATCAGTGCAGTGTGGGAAGCTTGTGGGGACAGTGTGTGGAGGGGCCGGGGCAGCCATCGCGGAAGGAGCAAGTGTTCTTTCCTCCTGGTGATGGAGGCACTGAGAGGCCACAGACGAAGGTGAAAGCGCTTGCAGGATCGGGCGGCTGCCTTATATGGAGAGCAGCTGAATGGTGACGTTGGTGGACCTGGTCAGGACGGTGATCAGGGAGCTATGGAAATGAGGACTCCGCCCGGTGAGATGTCGGATTCTCAGACTACGCCGCAGGAGGGTGGATGCCTGCTGGGGACAAAAAGGTCGGCTTGGCTAGGAGGCCTGTTCAGAGGAAAAGTCCCTGGTACGCCAGAAAGGTGGCGTGATGAAAATGGAAATGGTGCCGCGCCTGGAGATTGTGGTGCTGGCGCGGATGGCGGTTATGGCCGAAGTCAAGGGCCTATCAGCCATGGACAAGGCCCTAGTGACTATGGGGACCAAGTCGGTTCAACGGTGGGTCGGGTGGAGGTGCACCTGGCGGAGGCGGAGAGCAAGTGGCCCACATTTCCCTTGCTTTGGCTTCTTCTCTGCCTTTGCTGTTGGTCAAGTGCACGCTCCGTCGTCGCTCATCACACTTGCCTTGGGTGGCCTCTTGGAGGTGACACTGGACGGGGATTTTTGGCGGAGGGTGAGACGGCATTGCACAGCGGTGTGGAGAAAAACGGGACTCCAAGGATGAAGGCCTTAGCTCTTGGATTGAACTCTGGCGGTGTGACTGGAGGTGTCAATGGAGTGGTGGGGAAAAAGGGAAGGTACTGGAACTGCGGGTCATCCAAGCATATGAAGAAGGATTGCCCCGTGAAGCCAGTCGAGAAAGATGGGGGCCCGTTGAAGTTGGATGGTATAAGCCTGAGGTGCGGTCGGCCACCAAGTCCAAGTCAGCAGATGGGCCAGTTGTGGAAGAGAAGCCTGCAGAGGATGCTAAGGATCCTGGAAAGCTGGAAGGAAAGGGCGAGGTTGGTGGGATCTTGTCTGATGTGAAGGTCTCAGCCCTGGAAGTGAAGGGTGAGGATGTTAAGATCTCAGCCCTTAATGCGAGATCGTCCAGCTCTTCTTGACGGTGAGGCGACTCACTGCTTGAGACAAGCAGCTGACGAGGCTGAATGGAAATCAGGCATTGAGGTCGAAGTGGCCCTTGTTTCAGGGACTGCTATGCTCAGGCAGAACCTTTGGACGAAGACCCTTGTGACCCAGCAGCCTGTGCAGCCGATCGTGCCGCTTGGTTGCTTGGCGGAGTTGGGCTATGCCATCAAGTGGGAGTCGAGGAGCTTCGAGCTTCAGGACTCGAAGGGACGCATCTTGGAGGAGGAGCTGGGGTTGCAGCTCATCAAGGAGATCGAGAAGCAGGTGATGCTTCAAAAGGCCAGGTTGGCTGTGCTGCGGGGCGGTGAAGGCCCTGGGATGGCATCTATGTCAAAGACCACGGTGGAGTGGTCGCCGAAGCTTCGCAAGCTTTTCCCGGAGGTGCCGGCTGAGCTTCTGGAGCGAGTGGTGCCGGATGATCGAATATTTTGATCCGGAGTTGCTGCCGTGGAATCGGAGAACCTGTTGGCCAAGCATGTGGCGGCTTACATCCTGCGCCTCTGCCTCTCCGGAAAAGTGAAGATGATTTTTGGCGGGACCGCCATGCAGGACGGTGTCAAGACTCAGGCACACGCAGCCTGGACCACCGCCATTGCGAACACGCTTTGGTGCCACAAGGTTCGGACGAGACAACCTGTCCAATCAGCTGAGGTCCATGGTGGCTGACGACACGGTGTTGTTCCTGAGGTCATTGACTTACTATGTGGTGAGGAAAGTGCGACCAAAAGGCAAAAAAAAGGGGCAAAGTCCGCAGGACCTACGCTCCTGACGAGGAGGATGAAAAGAAGTGTGCAAGCTTTTGGGCATTCCCGGAATGGGAGGCTTTTGCTGAAGCTTTCAGCATGATGCTGATCAGTTTCGATCAGGGGCCAATGGGCCACGAAAGGCGCAAGCCTACCAGGTTGGGTACGAACTTGGTGGCTTTGAAGCAGCTCGAGGGAGGGGCCCATGGGCGATCCTATACCGTGGCAGTGGCTTTGGTTCCCCAAAGAGGCTAAGCCGGAGGAGGTGAATGCGAGCTACCATGACGATGGTAGCGCCTCGACGCAGAGGGTGACTGGCGAGACGGTGTACTTCAGAGCTCCCGCCATACACACCACCTCGGTAAGGCGACCTCCGGCGGCTGCCAGTGAGGAGATGGTGGAGGTTGAGGTCGAGGAAGAGCGGGAAGTGCAGCCAACCAATTTGGGTTTGGTTCGCATGCGATGGCGTGGGCGAGTGGAAGGAGCTCAGGTGTTTCATGTGCGCCGTGACTGCTCGGCCATTCGGAACTCCAAGATGGTTTTGGAGATCCAGAAGTGTTCCGCTTGCTGGGGCAGGAACGACATGGACACCACAGGTGAGATCGTGGTCGCCGACGGCACCGGGTGGGCGCACCTTGCGCCCGTGTGAGCGCTGCAGATGAAGGGCTTGAGCTGGAAGAGCTCCGAAAGTTCGGGTCTAGAGGACTCTGAATGGTTTTTGAGGCTCACGCTTACTTCAAAAAGGGGGATCGCTAGAGATTCAATGTGGAGATATCATTTTGACGTGTCTTAGGTGCCACTTGAACGTGTGGTTGAAACCATGGGCATACTGAAGCCCTTTGCGCATCAAGAAAAGGCGAGAGCTGCCTTTGAAAGGGTCCTTTTTGACCACACGTGGCTTGTATGCACTTACCCACATTTGTCCACTATAGAATCAAGACCTCACCTTCAAAGATCTCATCCCACATCCTCACCCCTAAAACTCCTTACCCTTCCCAAATTTCCTCAAACATTCTTACCCTCCTAATTTTCATCAAAAATCCTTTTATAATCTTCCAACGCTTCCTAAAACATCTCTAAATAATTTCAAGAAAAGAAAGGAAAAAAAGGACATTGACTGCCACACTATATGTTCAGAAGACCTTGACTCTATAGAGTTTAACCCGGGGGTTATTCTATAGAATGGCCTCCCCGCGTATACACCTAAGTTCCCAGGGGCCAACTCTCCGATTGTGTTTTCCGATGAGTGGTCCAAACCATTTCTCAGCGGAAAATGTTTTGATCGTATTCAATCGGGTTGAAATTTATGAACGCGATATTCTCCGAGTGTTTTCTCCAACAAACGCACTTTCTGTAAACAAGGTTCATCCGAGAAATTTGTGTCTTTTCCAAAAGATGTCATCGGAGATGTCGTCGCAAAATTGATCGAGATTTCATCGGAGTTGCAAACCAGGGGTCCCTGATTCTATATAGAACATTTATGGCGTGTTTTTTTCAACTAGGGCCCAGGCAACCGGAACCTTGATTCTATAGAGACTTAATATTCCTGCTTTTCGTTTTTTGAGCTTGGGGACCGTGAGCCTATAGAGTTTGAACCCGGGGGTCGCCGATTTATGTCTATCTATTGAATGGTGATGCCCGGGTATCTACCTAAATTGTAAGGGGGATGCGAAAACATGGTACTTGTAGCTGCAGAAAAGCGATGCGATGCAAAGCGGGCTGAACCTGTCCCTGGCCCTGCCCCCCTTTTCCGATGACTGATAAGCCTTGGACGAGTGCGAAACAATGTCGTAGATTGTCGTTGATGCCTCATGCATACTATGCTTTTGTCTAGAAATTCGGTGGACTTTATGATTTTCTATCGACACTGTTTTTGTCCTCTCTCCATATTTTTCTGCTCTCTCTCTCTGTTCATGCCAAATTTGTCATTTTCTCTTATTGTTGACGGGTAACTGCTTCTTTGCTTGTTGGCCACTGCCATGTGGTTGTCAGTCTCCTTCCCAGTTTTCGTCCTTCGATTTTCATGCTCCTAAGTTTATTTCGTGTGTAATTCTTCTTCTTTCTGCCTGTCCTTGGCTCTGTCTTTGCTTGCTCCACTTGTCTTCTTCTTTTGACTCTGCAGACGCTTTGTTTTCCTCTGCCTGCAGCTGCCATTCTGCTTGGCTTTCCCACCTTGTCCTTGTTGTCCTTGTCTACTTCCCTTTTCTTTTCCTTGCTCTCGTCGACACTCGGTGCGAAAGTCAGTCAACTCATTCCTAGAGACGCTCCCGTCGTCCGGTGTGGCCTGTCCGCCTCTTCCTCCGCGTCTGCGCAGTACCACGTTTGGAGATGGTGCCTTGCAAACGATGTCACGAGGCCGAGTCTTCCTTCTTTCAGTAGAAACTTGGCGCAAATTTCGGTTTCACACCCATAGTGACCATCTGCAAGACAAGGGAATCGCCAGAGGTGGTGTTGGAACATGATTTTCACGCAATGAGTTTTTCTTTTGCATTTTGGGAAGGTACATTGTTATAATATGGAGTTATTCTGTTTTGGAAGCGAATACACTGTGTGGTGGAGCATTGTGCGTTTGGCAAGCCATGAGAATGAGGTCTGCTTGATTCGCTTGGTTGTGGCCACCATGCTTCCTGGACAACGATTGGGGCGGTGTTTGCTTTATTTATATCAGACCGTTGAATATGGCTTGTAGGTGTGTCAACATCATTTCACAACACCGTCTCTGCTTGAGTATTTAAGACATGGGGACATGGGGAATGCTAGCAAACTCTCAGGGCTTTTGTTGTCTTGGAGGGGTATCAGGAGTTCCATGGGGTACTCCCACAGCTGCCCATTTGAACCAGGCTTCTATATGTCGGTAGTGTTTGGCTGTCGCGAACCACGTCCATCTCTGAGCTCATGTTGAACGCTGTGGCCCTCGAGGTGAGATGCGGTTTACATGTCACGTGACATGTGGCTTCTGTGTTTCCAGACATGTTTCTACCAAAAGAAGACCAAGCCAGGCGGTCACAGATTGCTGTGTTGCAACCCACTGTTGCACTGGAGGCCATCATTCACGTGGACGAGTTCCTGTTTTCCGCTTTGACACCAACAAAGGTGCAGTATCGGATCCAAAATCTTCCACCTGTCAAGATTAAGCAGAACGGCAACAAATACAAGCTGGAGAAGCTTGGTTGGATTGCCAATGGTGTTTGTAAAGCTTACGTTCGAGGCAGGTCATCTAGAACCATCTCCCGTAGAAAGTATTCTGTCCCTGACATGTATGAGCTTTTCATGCTGTATGTGTACCTCTATTCGTGTGAATGCAGAGAGTGACTTCCAACCAGCTGCTGAGGAATATTATCTTTCTTCTGCTTCTCTCAGCAGCTCTCGCTCTGCCATTTCTCCTCTTTCTGCAACCTCTTACTCAAACCATGTTGGATGTGAAGTGGGAGATGTGCGGTGGGAACCGGACCTTCATCGTGGCATTCAACTCTGATGTTCAGCATCTGAGTTGAAGTGTTTTCATTACTCCACTTGTCATGCAAGCATACTCTAGCTCAAGAACAGACAATTGCTTTTGGTTTGCCAAGCAGACCGACCTAGTAAGACCCGGTGAGACTCAGACGACCAAGGCAGGCGGTGGGAAAAGCCACCAGACCAATTGGTGCAGAATTTGATGGTGAGACACCCATGGTTGAGAAGGCCGTGGCAGAACACATTTTTGCCTTCATCAACTACTCGGACAGTCGCTCACAACACCGTATTGAGAAGTACATTGACTTTACAAACACCGTGGCTTGGCGTCGAAGAAGTGAGTGATTGGTCGCACGGCGCAAGGAAGATTGGAGGCTATCCAGCTTGCACAGTCGTTTGATGATCCAACAGCTTGATCTTACAAGTTTCTTTCAGAACGCAGGGATATGAGGATATGAGTGATATGAGTGTCATTTCTACCAATTGAAAGTGGAGAAGTCATTCGGCCTGTGCACCTGTGCACCGTCAAAAGAATTTTCCCTAAGCCTTAAAGCATATCTATACAATCCAGCCCGTGTTGGCTCCTCAGGAATGTGGGATGCTGATAAGTAGCAAGGGTTGTGCAAACCTAAGTGACAGTTGTAGAGGAGAGGTGAAATGTGAGGTAAGTGCCAAGAAACCTTGTTTTTTCACCTTTGTGCGCGTGGTCTTTGTTGCTCATCTACCTGAAAATCCCCACGCATTGTGAGAACTTGAAGTTTTTCCAAGGCAAAGGCCTTTCGAAAATGGAGCGAGCAGTCGATGGACGATTACGGAGCATTGTATCCTATTTGCCTGGAAGAGTGGTTTCCCGAGGGAATCAATTCTGCCAAAGTCCGTGAGTACAACAACGAAACAGGAGCATCCTTAGCATCCAATTAGCCTTTGTAAGCTGTGTCACCTGCACCTGTAGCCATCCAAACCCTGATATCACTGATATCACTTTAACACCAGATTGAGAGAATGGCCTCTCCTTGCGGAAATGGATGCCAAGAAAGCATCCCCGGAAGGAGCTTTCTAAAGCCGAAGTTGCTTATTATACAGGCCCTGAACCGAAGAACACACTTTTCAACAAAGGGGGTCAGCAGGGATCATTGTCCCCTCAGCCCCTGTCATAAGCACTTCAAGCGCGGTCCAACTCGCACTTATTTTCTCGAACAGAAAAGGGCTGTCCATTGTCCAAACGTTCACCACTGCACAAACGAAAAGCTCGAAACGCCTCAAGCACATGAAACGGGGATTCTGCTCTCCCCTTCCTGACTTGCTCAGGAATCATGGGAATCCCCTGAAGGTTTACTCCGTGCAGTTTGTCGCACTTCAACCACGAAAAATTTCACATTCAAAAAGACATTCTATGTCTCAGCCCAAGCCCTTTCTTCTCTCACTCTTTCCATTCAGGAACTAGCGAACCAGGCCTCTAAAGGAAACAAAAGCACTCTGCACACCACGCCACATTCACCCTCTGAATCCAGCATCATCAAAACGCTTCGTGCCTTCCCATGAGCCCGACACGCTTCCTGAAGATGTGCCATGAGACTCTAAGAACTTTGCACTGACCTTAGTAGGAGCCTGTGCCAGCCGACCCTCCTCCAATCTCGGTGACCCTCAGCAAAATGCTATAGCCACACCACCGTTGCTGGAGGTAGTGCATGCAATGGCTGCCCTTCCTTAGGTCAGAACGGATCATCTTCCTCCCGTCTTCAAGCCAGGCAATCGTGATCACACCAGAGCTCAAGCCCGAAGCTGCAGGAGGCACCGACATATCACTATCGTACAATTTCTTCCTCCACGCGCAGTGACCATGGATCTTGAGGATCACCAACGCTCGAGGAAAATGCACCATCACCTCTTGAGGTCTGTCATTCACCGGCATGTTGGCGACAATGTGGAGCACTGTCTCGGCGAACAACCAGGATGCAAACTGAAGCTCATTTCTTGATAACCTCTCAAGAAAATCCTGCATTGTCTCTCCTCCTCTGGACGTAAACGTTTCGAAGAACAATGTGTCTGGGAGGTCCACCGATGTGTTCACTCTTCGACCTTCCGGGGCATGGACAAACCCCCTGCCTTCTCTCATCGGACCTTCGTGCCGAGGTTGACCCCGATCATGAAGCCCCCCTTCTGGTAGTAGACCTTCTCCTGGATGAGGTGACTCTCCCTGAGCCCTGACAGAGCGGATCGCTGCATCAGAGCTACCAAAGCCACCGGTTCCCCGCCCCGTGCTGGAGAGAGCTGCAGTAACCACCATAGGCGCCTCAGAAATCCTCTCAATGATCAACTGAGCCACCCTGTCCCCCACCTCAAAGGACCCCTCTGCAGAGCCGTGGTTGACCATGATGACCTTCAACTCACCTCTGTAATCTGCATCCACAACTCCACCTGCCACCTCGAACCCCCTGGAAGCCAAGGAACTCCGGGAAGCAATGCGGCCATAACAGCCTCTCGGGATTTCCACAGCCACACCTGTGGACACCAGCCGTCGTTCTCCAGGAGGTACTTGGAAAGCCACTGAGGTTGAAAGATCCCAGCCTGCTGCATGTTCCGAACCCTTACTGGGGATAATGGCATCTTCACTCAACAACTTCACCCTGACTTCTTCTCTGCTGGACATCATTCTTTTGATCACCCCAATGCCCACATCCTTCAGCAGATGTAGAAGGCATACAAGACCAGCCAAAAACAAGAACCACCCCACATCTCCGAAAGCGTTGAGTGATGGCTCTGGTGTTTCACCCTCCTTCTCGCAAACCTCGCTGGCCTCGGCCTTAGGCAGCATAGACGCACCCGCTAGCAACACAGCCATACACCTGGACAACTTGACTTCACCCCCACCGGTCAGGACAGCTCTCTCCCCATCTCCGGCTCCATGTCCATGGTATAGAAAAACTCCTCTGCAGAACTTTTCCAGTGACTGCGCTGGAAGCGACTTGGTCAGCGCATCTGCCCACAATGACGTTCCTGGACGATGAGACAGGGTGACCTCCGCCTTCGACACCGCTTCTGCCAGGCAACTCGCTCTAATGCGAAGGTGTCTAGTTCTCCACCCCCCTCCTGCGCCAGTCGCTAACACCACTGCAGCTCGATTGTCATTATACAGCTCCAGTTGCACGTTGTCCAAAAAGAGATCTACCAAGGCTCTCACCGACCGTCCAGACTGAAGACCTTCCACCAATGCTGTCAACTCAGCTTCAGCCGTAGAAAGTGCCATCAGACTTTGTTTTCGGCTCTCCCATTGGATTGGACATCCGGCAAGCAAAATCACTGTACCCGAAATGCTGTGGCTGTCACCCGGACTGAAAGAGGCGTCAACCAAGATCTCCAAAGTGCCACTTACCCTTGGTCGAAGTCTAGCCAAGTCGGGGTCAGAGTCAATCGGCACTTGGACTGGATAGTGAAGACCATGATCCATTGTGGCCCTCACATAGGCAAGCACCGCCTCACCCAATTCCAGTGTCCATGTAGGTCTCTTCACTGCCCATTGTGACATCTTCATAACTGCCCAAGCTATATCCGGCCTGGTTTTGCCAGACAGCCACAACAGTTCGCCAGTGATCTTCTGCGCACGACGGACCTTTGCCAGAGAAGGTGACTCCTCATCTCTGTCCTCAGGGACCTTGATGTATGGCGTACTTCCTCCACCGGTGTGTCTCTCCAGGACTTCACGCACATAGCTTCCTTGGTGTAGATAGTACGCCCCCTCGACCATGCGCTGGATTTCAATGCCAAGGAACCTCATTGGAACACCCCCTGGAACTGCATACTCAGGGTTTGATGTCCTCCACACTCTTTGAATCGTGCTCGAGGCAGAGTCTGTGACCTCCTTTGGTCCCACCATGAGCACGTCATCAACGTACACGATCATGTAGCCCAGCACCGCTCCCCACTCTCTGGTAGAGGGCGAAGAGGTCCAAGAAAACTCTTGCACTGCCCACAGATTCGCATCCTTCAACGGACGGAAGCCAAACTTCTTCTTCTCTGGTGTTCCTTCCTTCATCTGCCCACACATCTCGCCCTCCATCTTCTGAAGCTCTGCATCCCTGTAGACGCTCCAGTCCTTTGGAGAGGTGACAAGGCCATACATCGCAGATGTGATGACTCAATGTTCATCTGATTTCGCCAGGGCAGCATCCACAAGAATTCTTGGCGGTTTGACGATGACCAACTCTCCCTGTGCCTTTGGTGCTAGGAGAAAAGCCGATTTCACGTCCAGCGACAAACAATGCCAGTTCTGAAGCGAAGCAACCCGAAGCATAGTGCGTAGTTGTGTGGAATCGGCTCCGGTGGCATATACCTCCTCCCCAGACCTCGACTCCATATAGTTGCCACAGCACACGATTCGGGCTCTTCTTCTGCCATCCCCTGCCTTCCTTGTGAACACACCCATTCCTGGGATGATCTCTGCACGTTGACCTTTTTCTTCCGCCTCACGCACCAAGGCAAGGGCTTCCTCCTCCGAAACTCTCTGGATCGCCTGGTTGGAGTCGAAGTTGTCAATTTCCTCCTTCAACGGAGGTATCCAAAGAGGTAGTGTCTTGCGCACTTCATTGAGCCCAACCGTCCTCGTCTGCAGGAAAGTCTCTTCTTCATCCAACGCCGAGGTCACGGCTTCTGCCTCCAAGCGCTTCACCACCGCTTCAGACTCCGTCAAGAAGTTCTCCATTAGGGCGTTCTCGGAGTCCATGTCAGCCACCACGGAAATGTCTCGCTCCTCTGCCACTTGGGATTCCAGCTTCTTGAACTCTTCATTGGCCCAAGCCTGGCCCCTCATCAAGCGACACTGAACCTCATTTCCTCCGATTCTGGCCAGGGATGTCTTCTCCGTGAGTCGTCTTCTTGGCTGCACGGTCCCGTCCAGAAGATCAGCAGGCTGATCCCGAATCGCCAACTCAACCACATCCTTCATCTCGAAGCCACCCACTTTGACCATGTCATCGGTCCGGATGTACTTCCCACCTTCAACCTCCACCAGGTGACCACCACTCGTGAGACTCATGTCAGGGTCTGGTCCCCGCACCACTCCTGGCTTCTTTCTGGCTCTCCAATGTCCTTGAAAATCATCCCAACCTTTGGTGGTGATCATGACTCGCTGTCCCCATGGAAGGAGTTGCGGCGTGCCATAACCCAACGAAGCCAGTTGTTGTCGTCCACGGCGCTCACCAACATGCTTTGCCATCAACGGCCAGTACTCTTCACCATCCCCAGACGACCGGATGAGGGTGTTGATGGATCGACGGATCACTCCGATCTCCGCCTCTGCTCTTCCGTTCGCCTTCCAGTCGCTACCACAGGTAAAGGTCCGGTAAAGGCCACGATCATGACACCATTTCTTGGTTCCTCTCATCTCACCTGCCGCATCACTGTGCACCCTTCTCACATCCAAACCCAAATATTTGAGTCTGGCTATCATCCTTGCCAAGCACATCTTCACCTCGGCTGCCTGCCTGGATTCCAGGGTTTCCACCATGGTGTAGTTCTGGATCTCGATGTCCTCCGCATCTACCTCCAGCTTCTCCCATTCGTCCATCTCCTTGATGTCCTCCGCCTTGATGTCCGGGTCTTCTGGTTCCACCTCCTCCAACGCCGGCACTAGCTCCTCTAATGCCAGTTCCTCGCCTTCTGCTGGAGCGCCCTTGGTCTCTTCCAAACTCAACGGTAACGGAGCCACTCTCCCCTCGACCTTGCGGACTGGAATGGAGAAGACACCCACCATGAAATACCTGGACTTCTTCAAACGATCATGCCCTGGTCGAAACGGTCCACAAATGTCCACACTCAATGTTAGAGCATCTGGCCGCTGCACTTTCTTGTGGGGTCGATTCTTCCCACTTCCCTGGAGGCAGGTAGGGCATTCCCTGGAGA